GTATGCCATAGGTCAAGACGGTGTCTCCTCGATTTTGCCGACACTGCATCGAGAACATTCCCAGAGCAAGTTGTCCTTCTGGGTAAGAATGGTTCCGTAGTCCATGGAGCAGTTTGGTTCCAACTATCAACACTTTCTCCACTGGCATCCTGTCCCTGACTATGCAAGGTGGACAAGCCTGGACGCAGTATTCCGAGTGTAGCCTGACAAATGCTGGGAATAACCTAACAAAAATAGCGCCCGTGATGGTCCCGAATGCCCTGCGGATCAGCCACAACATTCTGAAATCCTTGCACGTAGCTTTCCTCCAGTTCTCACTGGATTTAAGTTCTGAAGACAAAGTGACTCCTAGGTCAACCAAATTGGACATATGGTGTAGTTTATTACGGCCAAGCAAATAACGCGTTTGGGGGCTGGTTGGCCCTATGCGAAAATGGAACACTTTGCATAAATTATGGGCAACTACCACAAAGCAGCCCAGTCCCAAAGTTTATCGAGGGCCCGCTGCAGAGTCTGTGGTCCATCGAAGTCAGACATTATGTGTCAACACTTTAGGTCATCTGCAAACATGAGAGATAGTACCTCCAGCAGTTCGGGCAGCTCGTTCAAATACAAGAAAAATAATAACTGGTCAAGCGCCGAACCCTGGGGGACCCCACTGAGGACTGACTGACGGAAAGGCAGACTAGACCCCAAAAGAACACACATCTCGCTCCCTTCCAGAAACGTTGTGATCCATTTGGTGCACGCCCGGATATTCCATAGGACAGAAGTTTCAAGGAAAGGCGAGAATGTGATACAGTGTCGAACGCCTTGGAGAAGTCAATCAACACTATACCTACTGCATGACCCCGATCCAAAGCATCCGCCCAACGTTCGCGTGCAACCAGTAAATTAGTCATACAGGAATGACTTTTGAGAAGGCCGTGTTGCAGTGGACTGAGCAGACCAATCTCCCGCAGGTGGTCTTCAAGCACATCTCTGACCAAATTCCCCAATACCTTGATCTGTACGCTTGTCAAACTTACCGGTCTATAATTGGCAGAGAGATGCTTGTCGCCCTTTTTAAAAATCGGGCAAACGATAGCATCCTTCCAGTCCTTGGGAAAGAAGCAGCCGTGAAGCGACAATTGAAACAAACGCGTCACTGGGCCACATAGCTCGCTTGCGCGTTCATACAGAAGCTTAGGGTGAATATTATCCATCCCAGCGGATTTAGCCGGCTTTAGCCCCTAAAGAAGATGGAGAACTTTTGCCTCCGAAGTTGTGACGTGTGTTAAACAGGATTCCTGGGGAACTCTCATTGCTAGATCAAGATGCGGCAATTACTCATCCCGAACAAAAGTTCCGACATACTGCGCACTGAGTAGCCATGCTTTTTCGTGATCAGTGGTAGCAGTGGCGCCTTCTCTGCCTAATAACACTGGGATAGATGAGCTAACGTTACTACGCCTTTTGACATAGGCGAAGAATCTTTTGGTATTCGTGAAGGATGTTAGCCAGTTCCATCTCATAGCTAAGTCTAGCAGCTCGTACATGACTCTTGCAAGCATTCCGAGCTTCACGATAACGCCGAAAAGTACATTCTGAGAGAATTGTCCGGTAGATTCGCCAGCATCTTGCCCGTCTATTTATTAGCTGGTGTGCGACTTTGTCCAACCATGATGGCTACGCGTTCGTACTCTTCTTTACCGAAAGAGGGATGCAGGGATGGGATACGTTAAAGAGGAACGACTTAAACGTCTGTATATCATCATCCGGCAAGGTGATGCATGGGAAACTTACTGCTTTGGCTCTACTAGACAGAAAGTCGGCGTGCCAAATGTTCGGAGTCCGGACCCTGCGTGAATCGTTGTCCGTAATGAGAGCACAACTGAATGACGAACACAAATGGTCACGGGCTCCCAATGGGGGACCGTATCCAAGGTCACTCAAAAGTCAACCGACATTGCGAAAACTAAGTCCAACGGAGGAGCATGACCCACCATGTACCTGGTGGGTCGATCGACAAATTGGCGTAAGGGTACTTCCAGTGTCAAGTCAACAATCTCGGCAGCCAACTCTGTTGTCGCTGCTTCATAAGATAGGTCATGCTAATTTACTTCAGGGAGGTTGAAGTCCCCATTATCAAGCATCCGTTCGCAGAGTGAGTGCGGATGAATTCTTTGAAACTCCTAGAAGCGCTATCAGGGCTCCTATACCGCAGCACAATTTTAAATTGTGTTGATTCGGTACAGACTCCAAATGCAAGAGCTTCAACAGTTTTATCAGCTGAGTTAAAGGTGTGTGTTTTTGATATGTTTACACCACGTCTGATATACAAGGCGACTCCACCTCCGCGGCTCTTAGATGGGCGGTCAGATCTCCGTATTGCGTAGCCCGGAACGTATAATTCACTGTCCATGACGTCAGAAGACAACCAGGTTTCAGTGAACGCGAGTACATCAGAATGGGGGTGGTCTATTATGACCCCTGGTTCACACATCTTGTTTCGCAGGCTACGCACATCACTGAGAACTATGTGAAAACGTTTGGTATAGAAAGCGCCGGGTCGTGTGCTACCAGAATGGGCTCTGGTAGGGCGAAAGTGGGCCGTCGGCTCACTACCCGAAAACCAAACAAACAAACCTTTCTCGCCAGCTTCGCGACGCGCTTTAAGATTTTTGATGGCTTTCTTAAGCTTTATCCTACCTGCCAAAGATTGATCCGGTTGTATACTCACTCCGGAACCCCTTAGTTTAAAGGCGAAGCGCAAAAGAGTTTGGCGCTCCTCCGGTGTATTCAAGACCACACGTAATAGACGGGTCTACATTTAATATTACCACCCGATATGTTTACAAGCATATTAACTTTTCTAACAGTAACCCCAGGAAACCCGGGTGGAATGAGTTTAGAAAAGCAAAGTTTGAACCAATGAAGCTCGGTAAGCATGCGATCTTTCGGAATAGCCGCAGAGGACTCCGAGATATTCCTGAAGATAACGCTGCTGTCCGTAAATGCAGCACTACGACGAGGGGTGTTTACGACGTACGTCACCGTAGCAGCGCAGCGCTTGAGTTCATATCCTCCTTAGTAGAAACAGCAGGTGCACAGGTGAAGGAGTCTGGCAAGGAGGTGGAAGAGTTTTCTGCCTTGGTTTCCGGGGAAGAGTATCGACAGCGTCCACCGTTACATCTCTTAGATTGGGGTTCGTTGTACTGATGGATTTCTTTATCTTACGCCGCTTTACCTTCGCAGATACACTGGTCTGTACAACGTCCCCACTCACAACTGAGTTCAATATACCGTCAAAATGTCTGCCATCTTCAGGCGTCGCCTCAACAGTTGGTGAATGCTTCAAAGCCGTACTATTTATGCAACCGTCTGAACGCATGCTTGTTCTAAGATGACCTGCACGTTCAAGGCTTACGACGATTTGATCAACCCTCCCCTCTAAAGAACTAAACAAAGATAGTAGGGTACCCACTCTATTCACCAAAGTTTCCAATTCGTCACTTGGGACTAGACCATATGCTTTGTGCCTCACACAACCAGGGCAATTATAAGGTAAATTATCGCTGTTTTGTAGGAGGCTATATTGCTGTCTATCCAACCCAGTGCAAGCTTCATGGAACCAAGAACTGCAGAGGTCACATTGCATGCCCCCAGAAGAACCAGTAACTGGTTCTGAACAACTCGCTTTACCATAAACAGCTGACGAATCGGTTAATGGGTCCGTGGGCCACTTGGAACCGGATATATTACCATAACGAAAGCTGAAAAACTTTGACAGTTAATCGGAACGTGAACCGGGGTGCGGTAGGCTACAATGCAGACAACGTAAGGAGCAATCAGATAGAACCCGGAGCGATTCGTTTGCACAGATTTGGACTCACCAGAACAAGAAAGTAGTAACGAAGACCAAGACAGGCTTTTCTGTAGAATAACCTCCAAAAGCTATTCTCCGATGGAGCTGAGAGAGACTGCAGGAACAAGGGATTGATCAGCTTCGCGTGGTCGAATATTACCCCAAGTGTCGTACTTGGCAAAACGTCTGACGGTTGTGCGTAGGCGAAGATCCCAACACGCACTACTTATCAGCCGAAGTTTCCGGAAACCTTGGTTCTCACCGAGAAGACATATTCTGATGGTGTGCTTGATTTTGCTCAAAGTAAAAAGCCTCACGGGACCCTGCTTCTGTTATCAAGAAGAAAAAGCAGACAAAATCTGCTATAAAGCCTTCCGATGAAATCGATGACCCTAACAAAAGTGAGACATCGACAATGGAGCGAAAAACATACGCTGCCGTTGCTACGTAATCGGAGGGGCCAAAGACAGTTCCATCACCAGTAGTGAAGCCACCTGCTCCGAATGCCGAATCAAAGACCCGTGGGGTTAATACACCCCGTCGCGGCGATTCTTTCACGGATAGTAGCGTTATATTCTGTAACGCGGCTGAATCTACTGCTGTCCTTCCTGCTGATCGTATGTTGGACGACCTTCAATGGTTTAAAAGGTGCGTAACGAAGCTTCTTCCGCCTGGTTTTCCAGGCGGTACTGTCAGGAAGCTGATTAGACTGGGGAACGTCCCAGTTAACGTACCAAACCCGCGACCGCGGCTACTTCGTGTGGTACTCTCTACCACGGAGGAACGCAATGTTCTCATGCGGTTTGCGTTTAAGCTGAAAGGTACGAATATTAGCGTTCAGCCGGACCTTCCGCTAGCCGATAGGCTGAAGCTTAGGGAGGCCATCAAGGACCTCAAAGGCAGACGAGCGGCCGGTGAACAAGGTCTCCGGTTTGTGTGTTATCGGGTGGTCAGCCGGCGGTCCTTTTCCGCCCTACCACTGCCAATTCTGGTAGCGCACGACCAAGGTCTGAATCTAAGGAAAAACTTAAGATAGTGCTAAGTAATGTGTGCAGCCTAAGGAATAAGGTGTACGAGTTAGGTGTGCTTGTAGATGGATCTCATCACGATATACTCGCATTCACTGAAACGTGGCTGTCTCAGGACATCACGGATGGTGAAGTACATCTATCTGGCTACGCACTATTTAGATGCGATCGCTCTGCTGGCCGACAGGGAGGGGGCGTCGCTTTATGTGAGCTGTAAACTTGACGTTTTGAAGACTTGCTTATTTCAGTCGGCAGACAAAACTGTTGAAGCTCTATCGGCTGTTATTAGCACATCCACGGCTCAGGTTGCAGTTGTAATTGTGTATAGAAGCCCTGGGAGCGTATCCAAAGAGGCACTTGAATTCATTCGCCCGCAGTCCGCAAATAGGTGTTTGGTGATGGGCGACTTCAACCTCCCAGCGATTTGCTGGGCAGATCTTCCTTGCGACTCAGCGTCAGGCACATTCGGCGCTGACCTGCTTGAACTTACGCTCCAAGTATCTTTGCATCAGTTCATTGACCTCCCCACTAGGTACATGGACGCCGAAGTACCGTCTATCTTAGACCTTGTATTCGCTAAGTCACTCGATTTTGTTGGTGACATTACTTACGGACCTCCACTGGGTTCCAGTGATCATGTTTGTTTGCTCTTCAGTTGTACTCTGTCTAGACGCTACCAGAGTACTGTTGAGTCTCGCCCGAACATATGGCACGCAAACTATCAATCAATGAGAGCCAAGGCTTCGGGTTTCCATTATGGGATCTCAGAGGACGATACTGTCGAGGTTGTCTGGGATAAATTTAAGTCCTACCTCACAGAGGTCTCTGCTCCCTTCATCCCAGTCAGAAGGAGAAAGGAGGCCCGAGCACAGCCACCTTGGATAGATCCCACTGGCAGGCATCTGCTCACAAAGAGGTCTAGATGTTGGCGGACTTACCGAGATGCTCCGTCCACCTATACTTATGACATGTACCGGAAGGCTAGAAATAGGTGTAAGCAACACCTAAGGAATGCTCGGCTCAATTTTGAAAAAGGGTTAGCGGACGAAGCTTCAGAGAATCCTAAAAGATTCTTCGCTTATGTCAAAAGGCGCTGCGCTTCGAACATGTCAATTCCAGTATTGATGCGTGATGACGGTACTCATGCGCATACGGATTATGACAAGGCCTGCGTACTCAGTGGGCAATATGCGGCAGCATTTGTAAGGGAAACCTCTTTGACAGGCGTGGAGCTGGTTTGCAGGACCCCAGAGGGTTCAGAACTATCTGAATTTATTGTAGCGGAGACTGCAGTTCGTAGGCTGTTACAAGGGCCGAACCCTTCTAAGGCCTCTGGGCCTGATTTAATTCGCCCGAAACTGTTGCATGAGTTGGCTGCGGAACTAAGTGGACCGCTCGCTATTGTGTTTCAGAAATCGCTTGACAGCTGTGCATTGCCTTCCGAATGGAAGGAAGCTGTCATCTGACCCATCTTCAAAAGTGGGGACAGGGGTCTGCCTGCAAATTACAGGCCAGTTAGTCTGACGAATGTAGTAGTCAAACTCCTCGAGACACTGGTGAGAGATTCATTGAAGAGTCATCTGAGTAGATTTAATCTAGTTAGCAACGTACAACACGGATTCCGGTGGGGATTTTCGTGTCTGAAGAACCTACTGGTAGCTCGCGAAAGTTGGGCGGATGCATTGGATAACGGCCACGCGCTGGAAGTGCTTTTCGTCGACTTTTCGAAGGCATTTGACAAGGTACCCCATTCGAGGCTCGAGCAAAAGCTGTCCTCCTACGGGGTATCTGGCCACGCCCTTCATTGGGTGACTGCCTTCTTGGAGGGTAGAGAACAGTGTGTACGGGTAGGCCGGGGCCTATCGTTTAGGCAGTCTGCCTCAGTGGCGTGCCGCAGGGCTCGGTCCTTGGACCGCTGCTGTTCTCTATCTATGTGAATGACCTACCCGTGGAGCTTGAGGTACCACCGCTGCTATTTGCTGATGACCTGAAGCTGTGGAACATTGTTGATGTTACTGGGGGTTCCGAAGCTATTCAGCGAGCATTGGATAAGCTTTGGGACTGGTCTACTTTATGGTTACTGCCCATAAATCAGGCAAAGTGCTCCATTCTTCGAATTGGAGGAGGTTGTCCTCCTGCGAAGTACATGGTCGGTGGGGTCGAACTCCCCCGTGTAGCTAGCCAGGTTGACCTAGGCGTCGTACACTCTTCGGCGTTACACTCTGGCGACAACTGGAAGAAGGCCGCAAGCAGAGGTTTTCGCATGTTGTGGTTAATCCGACGTTCTTTCGGAGTCTTGACGGGCGGCATCTTTACAAGGCTGTTCTCGGCTTTCGTTCGGCCACATCTGGAATACTGCATCCAGGCTTGTCCACCCTGCCTTGTCCGGGACAAAATGGAGCTAGTGAGGGTTTTACGAGTGGGTACTAGGTTAGTCGAGGGATTACGGGGACGGACGTACCCAGATCGTCTACTTAGTTTGGGAATGCATTCAATGGACTACCGAAGGCTTAGAGAAGACTTAATCCTCAGCTACCATATCTTGACTGAGAAGGTTGGTCCAGATTTATCTTGGCTATCCAGTCCCGCTAGATTGTCTGTTCTACGCGGTCATTCGTTGAAGCTGGACAAACCGCGGTCCGATCGGCTTAGGGCGGAAATCCGGATGTCACGCAGAGTCATCGACCGCTGGAACATGCTTCCGGAAAGTGTTATCAGGGAATCTACGGTTAAGGGGTTTGAGCGGCAACTTGACGCTCTTGGGTGGCAACACGAAACCTTTCCATTTTCCTGAGTAACTTGCATCTTCGTACTTCGCTTTTCTTTTCTCCACTTTTCTTCACGTATTGGTATTATTTTCTTATTTAAGTGCACTTCCTTATTCTGTACCTTCGATTTCTCTTCCTATCCTTTGCTTACTTCCCGTGACTGTCACAGCAGGGACTGCTAGGGCAGGAAAGGTGGGCATTAACTGGTTGGCCAGGGTGCGATACGGGTGTTTCCGTTTTAGATCCATTAATAACTGAACACTTCAGCAATTCCTGTCTCAACGATCTGCTCAAGATGGAACACTCACGGGATTCTCCTGTCGTTCCAGTCCCCATCTGAACTGAACTGAACTGAACTGAACCCGATTTGCACTTGATCGATGCGATATCGACAAAGGCCGGAATCTTTTGCGTTGAATTCATTAAACAGAGGCATATTTCGATGAAAAAACCACGAACAGTAGGTGAACAATTAAAGATCGTTAAACGCTGGTACACTGGACAGTTTATGCACAGAGTAATTCAACACCGTTTCCACAAAAGGATTCCGAGAAGGAAGACTCACGCGGAGAAACACGACAACCACGCCGTGACAAAGGAAGGCACATAAGAGATTCTGAGTATGTTGGCACTTCCAAATTTTCTATGTAGTGATATTCAACTACTGTTCTTAAACAAAGATTTCAGTAAAGAAAATCTAGAGCGATGAAACACGACAATCACGCCGTGACCTTGAACCTGTCCAATTCCGTTAATTACGGACTTGACCATTTTTCCCTTTACTAGGGGGAGCTGGTTCCTTTCATTTAATCCTAATGGATCTTGTGACAAATAACGAATTCATTGGCATATCCAATAACATCCTAGCAGATCTAAAAGTTCTGTGAATTTCTCAGTATATTTTTAAATTTTAGTCAAGCTATCCGTATTGGGAAGATGTAGTCAGTAAGGCTGGGAAACTTCATTCGTCCATAAAGTGAGATATCGAAAACCCTGACTTTTAAGTTTGGTTGCACAACATTCTGCAGCTTTCTTTGACGCAATTCAAAAGGTTGCTGACCTAGCCTCTCGTGCATCTGGTGGCGGTCGCGAAATCGGAGCCTGCCTCACTCGTGTCTGTCTCCGTCAGCGCCGACTACAAACGAAATTGAAATCACTCAGCAAGTAAGCATTTGTTCTCAACCCTCGTGCACAATTTAACTCTGCACGTACTCAACCGCGACAATTAACGCGCACACACCAAACGCATGTCAGTTGCTTTTCCTGTACATTGTCTACCTGAATTATCTATAAACTTGCACACATCGCTTAAGCTAAGTATAGTTAACTTCGATAATATTTTCGCTTTTTCGGCATTTACTTAAAGCGTATTCTCAGATGACTTGAGCTTGTCGTGGATTTGCTCGTTCAGTTCAGTTCAGATGGGGACTGGAACGATAGGAAAATCCCGTGAGTGTTCCATCTTGAGTGGATCGTTGAGCCAGGAATTGATGAAGTGCTCAGTTATTGTTTTGTATACTCAAGTTTTGAAGAGTTAAGGCACCGTATCTGTATGCATTATTCGATCTGTTCGTCTCAAGTGATTGGCTGTTGCTTGATATCCCCGGGGTGGTTGCGCTTGATGTGCTTGTTGACAAAGTGCCTACCTGTCTACTACCCACCACCTCGTCCATGCTGGCTCCTGGAGACAGTTGCTCGTTGCTGGAGGGGACGGGATGCACGGTCCTTGTTGCCGTGCTAGGCTCGAAGAGTGGTTCCATGCACAGTGTGGAGCGGACTGCGGTTTAGCCACCGCATTGTGTGCGCCTGATTCCCAAATACAGCGTGTTTGTGTTTGCCTGTGAAGGAGTGTGGGCCGGCTCCATTGATGAAACGTGGCTCCCATCCACATGCCTCCCGGTCTTATTCCTTCGGTATATGGGGTGGTGGAAGCTGTGGATGGTGCAGCGCAAGCCACCCGTGGTCCCACTGTGAGCGCAGGCGTCCTGTGGTTGGCCACAGTGATAGGCAAATCCGAAATCGGATGACGCCAGTCATATTTCGTTTGTTTACATCGTCCTCTGCTTCATCATGTTCGGATGTGTGCGGTCTTCTGTTTGCTAGATGCTTATAATATACCAGACCTGCGTCTTATATTTCCTTTCATACCTGTCATGTTAATTCATTTGTTCTGTTTAATTGCTTTCGGCCAGTGCTAGAAGTGTTTATGGTCTTCAAGTTTGGAATTGAAATACACGCGTCTGGTTGTATTTCGACTCAGTCTCCATGGAGAACTCGGTTCACTTTGAAGTAGACCTCATTTTGGGTGTTGTTGCTCCGCCATTCATAATGGACTGAAATATCGTTAGAGAATAAATATGCCAAAAGCCGTCAATCGCAAAACGTTGTACCGTACAATCACCGGACACAAAAGTTCAAACAGATGATTTAGTGCAAGAGCACCACAAACTTCTCAACTGCACAACAGCCAGTGCGTTTCATCCTGGTACCTCATCGCATGGATTATTTCACCACTGCCTTGAAGTCGGCCGCTTAGTCTCATACTGTACAGTAAGTACCGTCATGCCCAAATACGAGTGGTGTAACCATGAATACCCCGGCCAATATGCGTGACCACAATCCTCTGCAAAACCATGGAAGGAATAATCAAACGCGCCCTCCAGCCACACTGTGAGAACCTAGTCACGGGATCTATTCATGGAGGCTGTGATCTTGACTCATGTTTTTCACCAGTAGTATGTAAGTTTCAGAAACATCGGTGAGACAAGTCTTACATTTTTCCTAGGTCACTTGAACATTGTCCTTCCTAGAGATAACACAAAGCGGTGACGAAGCCGTCTCGCATCGCTTGGCAGTTCACAGTTTACATGTGGTGTCAATCCCTAGTAGCTTAGTAAGTCGGCCGGTGGTTGAATAGGTTGCGCGCCCGCGTTGTACTTCTCAGGCAACCGGCTCGAATCCGTAGATGTGTGACCTCGCGGTATACCCACCCCTTATGCGATTGATGTTTGTTTTGTGGCAGTGAAACCTTGGCAAGGCGTACTCCTGGTGCGTTCTGGTAAGTCATAGTAAGGGCACGTGGTCGCTATCACTGAGGGGCGAGCCGAAGTAATGTTACTTACGAAGTCAAGGGACTTAGCAAAACAAGATATAACAAACGGCTGCTAGTTTCTCATGTATCTTATAAAAAGTCCACGAATTGGTATAGTAGTAACTGCACCGTCAGGTCCAGTGGGTCCGCACTGAACAATCCCAGCGCCGAGTTACAACACGGATCTGCCCAGCAAACGTTTTGGAAATGGAAGTTGCTCGGCGCCAGACACTTGTTCGCAGAACGAGCGTATATGAACTCAGTAATCTCTTTAGAGGTGCTCCCAGGACTTCTGTACACTACCATGACCGTAAACTGAACCGAATACAAATCACGACTGATGGAGCCTCAACAGTTTTGTCTAGCGACTGAAAAACGCTGGTCCTCAATAGGTCTAGGTGATAACTCACATAAAGCACTACAGCACCCTCTTAACGGCCAATGGAGCGTTCAGCGCGGAACACTGCGTAGCCAGGCGGACATACTTCGCCATCCGTGATTTGCTCAGGCGACCACGTTTCCGTGAAGACAACTATATCTGGACGAGATTTGTCTACGTTCAGACGCACTTCGCACATCTTGTTCTTCAGGCTAAACACGTTGCTAAATACTACTTGAATGACTTCTACACGGCCAACCCTGGATCGTGCGCAACCAGAATAAATTTTGGCAGGCGGAAACAGAACTCCGAATAACCGCCTAATAACCCACCAATCGGAGACCGTGCTCCCCAGTTGCATACGGCTTTGAGGTTGCTGATGGCTTCCATTAAGTTTAACATGTCGGCCGGTGGCCTAGTGGTATGCGCCTCTGGTTTGCAACCATAAGGTCACCGGTTCGAATCCGCGTAGGGGCGGGCGTCCTCGCGGTATACTCAGCTCACGCGCGACTAGTGTTGATCGCGTGGCAGCGAAGCGACGTTACGGCGTACAGCTGGCGATTTATTATATTTTATTAACGCTCAAAAGCAGGTCACAATAACGTCCTGCGCTTCTCTGGGGTGGCGAGGACCACCCCAAGCAAGCGAGGTCGAAAATATGGTTTTCCGACCGGAATGTTCTCCAGCATGATGAGGTTTGTGACAGTAACACCAGGGAACCGTGGTGGGAAAAGCTTGGTCACACAAACTACACAACCGGGGTCATCAAGCGTGCAATCGGTGTGAAGAGCGGCAGTGGATTCTGTGATATTTATAACAATTACACTGCTATCCGTGTAAGAATTTTTCTGACAATGCGTTCACCCCACGTGCTCTTCCGCACATATCGCGTGGCTTCTTGATTTTGAGCGGTTTAACCGAAGATGTGGGTTCGTCACGTTTTTCTGAGGGAATTGTAGCAACAGATGGTGCCCCTGTTCAGACTGTTGCACCTTGTGTTTTTACTATACTAGTATAGCGGTGTTCGGCGGGAGAGCCTATGGTGCGCTGAGGCTGGTAGTGGCTAGATCCTGACAGATGGTCTACCCACTGCTGCTACTGTTCGACGTTCGGACCATAAGAGAAATAGGTCAACAGGCTGCACTCACGCGCAGGTTGGCTACACTGGGTTTCGAAGTATGTTGTGTCCGAAACTAGGATCAATAATCCTAACAGAGTTATTGAATTAACTGCGCTCGGCCTGTCATCTCGCTATTGGATACACGCATCCAGAGACCAAGATACAGCACTCACGAGTCAAGCTGGGGTAGGTTTGGTTCTCAGCTCCAAGACTGTCATCGTTGGTTAATTGGATTCTGGCGAACAGCCGTTTGTGTGCAGCCTATTTGACGATATCAGCCAAGGTTGAGGCACAAATTAGTACAAGACGCTGTTTGCTTGTGGTTTCCGCTTATGCTCCCACTGACTGCAATCCTGATGCTGCCAAAGACACATTCTACTACGAAGTGAACACATTACTGCACAGTGCTACCATTACAGATACCATAGCATTCGCAGGGGATGTGCCATCCCAATGAGGCTGGACCTTACCGTGGTGCAATGGTTTGTGTGCCTCAGCGATCCATTGAGCTATGCTGGGTGGTGCTTTTGCACCTTCAGAGTCACTCATACCAGATTGGTCAGTGGTTAGAGGTTAGACAAACTCAGCCTCCTGGTCCTCCAGGTTGTGGGTTGGAATGAGGCTGGCACCTTATTCCTTAAAACGGACTCCTCGTAGCCCAACGTCAAACCCGCTGCCTTGCGGTCAGGTATTTGAACCAAAGGCGTTGGTTGAGAACCCTAATCGTTCTCCTGTCTAGGCGTGGGCAGCCTGACAGTACCCTGCCCACGTAATACCATGAATATTATCTCAAACAAATTGCTGATGCTTTGGCCACCGCAGAGGATAATCAACGGTGCCCTATCTGCTGCATCGAGCAGGGTGGATAAGGGTTTGGATGCTACTGCTCAAGCCTTCCCGTCTTCTTATTCCCCATCTTACGCTTTTTCACTCATACCGTCCTCTTCCAACTTCACTTTTACCCCACCCCCCAGTTTTCAACCCCCGATTTTTGGCCCTCCCCAACATGCTTTGCTAGGCATTTATCTTCTAATTTTAACTCACATGTGGACGCGGAGCGTCACTCCTCTTGTAACGTCCACCGTGAACGTTGAATAACGCGTAGCCAAAGATCCCGAAATCAAAACAAGTCGGATCACAAATACTACGGTGCTATTAAAATATACACAGTTGATAATCGGGACATACTTCAATTGTTCAGTATCCCGGTGTATGCAAGTTGACAACAAGGTGTCAGTAAACAATAGGAGGGACGAGTTGTCTACGCCGGACAATCAAAGGAACAAGTCACCACACCTGAGTGCTACGAGTATTAAGAATAATGGCGTTGACCAATCAAGGGACGGTCCAATCACAGGGTGAGAGTTTAATGGCACGCATAAACATGGTGTTTGGACTAGCGACCAGTGAACGGGGGAGGGGGTGCGACACATGCTCCGGGCTGAACGTGTCATGTTCGGCGAAGAGTAGGGTTGGAGATCCAAGGTCGCCGGTAGCCGCACACGCACGGAACCAGTGCGGGGTATTAGCATGCACACACAGACACAACTACGACGCTAACAATGGGAATATAA